GACAAAATAACAAATAGTGTTCATTTGAATGTCTTGGAGTTTACAGCACAGCTTCATCAATACTTATAGTAACAATAATATGATTTATAAGCAAAGATGGGTAGTGGCTAGCAGTGGAATCCAAGACGCGCGTTTCGTCCTGTTTGGGACTCGTCAGCTGGACGTACCCGCATCTGAGTTGATGTCCACTCTGGGACTCGAACTCAGTACCGTTCGCTTCAAACGCCATCGCGTTATCCACTGAGTCCTGATAGCTACCTGCTTGTGCAATGGGTTGAAGTTGAATTCACTTGATATTGTTTTACTTGAGTCCCAAACAGGACGAAACGCGCGTCCTGGATTGCACTGCTAGCCACTATCCATCTTTGCTTATAATGCTTGTAAATTAAGGCAATATCGAGGCATACGCACAGTATGCACATATGCCAATAAGAGACTGATCAATTTCAGTCCAAAAACATCAATGGGAAGATTCAAGTAAAACAATATCAAGTGAATAATATGATTTTGTATAACTTGACTTTACTTCAATTGAATATGCGGACAATTTTTGCCAACATACCCTTATATTTCACACCTCCATATGATGGTTGGTTGATACTTCAATGACTAAACTTTAGTATTCATTCATCCAGAATGTAATCTTAATTGTTTGAAGACTCCCCATCATATTAAAAGACTAATATTTGGATGAAGAATATTCTTTTTGATAAGTTCTCTTTGTTACCGAATACGCACTGTATGTTCTACGGATATAGATAAAGAAAAGCTAAACACCTTGGGTTACCCAAGAAAGTTTATAATTAAATATATGATCACAAAGATGAGAATAGGCGAAATACAAACAGTGATTAAGAAATCCCTGTTTATGCGTCTACAACTTAGAGAGGATGCGGCTAATGAAATATTAACCCAGAGATTACGCAGAACAATCCAAAGAAATTTCAACGTCAGAGAACTACGATAAGTATTTCCTACGCGCCCAATGGTGATACCGAGGCTAAAAGATGAATTACCCAGAATGACCATCTCATTTTGTTTTTATCAGTTCGACTGTTCCTGTGAAGCACGTTATGTTGGTCAAAGTTCTAGAAATTTATATTTTCATGCTCCCAATGTGGCTAAGCAAAGGTCTAGTGAATAAAGTGAACAGCTCGATATTGACCCATTTAGTGCAAACTGGTCATAGTGCTAATCCTTTTCAATTATTTATCGAGTCAGCAATTTTCGCCAAAGCTTGTCAGACTTAAAGTCCTTCAAATAGATGAAGTAATAGCCATCCGGATGAAGAAACCAAAGCTATGCGTACAAAAGATATATCTTTAACCGCTTCTCCTCCCTTGGTCTTCTATTAAACATTTGATCGCATTGTAATTACACCCTATCTGACCCATAGTTATTTTGATCATGGATCTTAAAATTTCCACTTGACATATAAGCTGATTCAAGTTAACATTCCATATGAGTTATATTCACATTACCATCGTGGATGCACACCACTGAGGAGTCCCATACTACGACGAAACGACCGTCCAGTGCTTCCAAGTTTTCCATAGTGGTCTAGTTTGAATTGACTCATGAATTTAACTATTAAATTACTATAACATCCACAAAACCACTTTCAGATTACTCTCTTTTGATTGGCAATCCTAAATTCATATGCTTTAATAATAAACGATACACTTTACCCTTAACCTGACCATTTTTCGGATTATTAATTGGGATATATATATAATTGTAGAACTTGGAGAAAATTTACCGAAAAGAATATTCTTTAAATTTACTTGGTGTTGTTTGCTTGTATCCTCCTATTGATGTTTTACGACTGCAATTGATCAGTCTCTTATTGGCATATGTCCATAATGTGCGTATTGACTCGATGTTGACTTAATTCATAAGCATTATAAGCAAAGATGGATAGTGGCTAGTAGTGGAATCTAGGACTCTCGTTTCGTCCTATTTGGGACTCATTAGCTGGATGTACCTCCATCCCAGACTTGTTGATGTTCACTCTGTTAATCGAACCTAATTCCATTCGCTAAGTGGATAACATGATAGCGTTTGAAGTGAACAGTACTGAGTTCGAGTGCCGAAGTAAAATGTTAACTCTAGGATGTAGATACATCCGGCTGACGAGTCCAAAATAGAACGAAACGCGCTTCAAACTGGATTCCACTTCTAGCCACTATCCATCTTTGCTTAAATAAAGTAGTAGGTAATTAATGATGACATATATAACCTAGTGACCATGATAATAGACAAATCAACATTATAAAGTTTGATAGTAGTCCTACTTGTTTGCAAGGATTTAACATGTTTAAATGTAATCTCTATCGAAAAATGACATTGATTATAGCAGATTTGAAGTAACATTAAAAATAATTATTAAGCTTTATTTTGATGGAGTTTTGTTCTCTTAGCTGGATGGTTACTTAACTAATGGTTGCTCTGTTTTTTCGAAGGGACATCAGTCTCGTGACTAGTGACTAGGAACTCGGCTTTCGTCATGAGGTGTCGCAACTCTTCTAAATAAAGACCTTCTAACACCCAGGGCAGAGTTTAAATGGTTTGAATTATTTTTTTCTGGTTAGCGTTTTATTTAGCGAGTTAGTTTTCTACGGGATGGTGTCGCTAACCCCATGTCAAACCCTCCTCCTTTATCCGGCCTACGGACCAGCAGTAGCCCGAGAAGGGCTCCAGGTGGGGTTATTAGACCTTATTTTAAGGTTCATTATCAAAGGTTTACACCTACAACTATACATAATGTCATATCAAACACCCTGAAGTTTCAAAGAAAACGTGATATCATTCACCGACTGGCATGGAATCCAATGATTTACACTCTTCACCTCCATTTAATTTTCAATAATAATACAACAAGAATGATTAACTATGTACCATTCATTATCATATTTAATCTCACATGAAGTATCGATGTGACAGAACTTTTGAAATATTTATTCTTTGATGGACAGTAGTTGATTTAACTAAGCTAAACCAACTAAAAGACAAACTGTTATTATCGAAGATTGGAACGTAAGCAACAGCATGCTGTGGTAGAGAAAAAATCAGTTACTAACTGAAGAGAGAATTAGGGAGAGACTTTGGAGGTGTGTAGGACATACATTACGGAAATCACCAAACTGCATCACGAGGCGAGCGCTTATCTAGAACCTTGGATGGAAACGGAGAAGAGGAAGGCCAAAAAGTACACTATGTCGAGAATTGGAAGTAGGCATCAGAAGAATGAATAGCAATTAGAAAGGATTGTCGAGAACAGAGTTCAATAGAGAATGCTATTGGTTGGCCTATGTTCCTCCACGAGGAGTAACAGGCGTAAGTGAGTAACACTGAAACATTACTTAGTGTGCTTTTTAAATAGTAGCTTTAAGTATTTCCATGACTTAACTTGGTCAACAATTTACAAGTATCTTTTTCTGAAAATCTATTATTCTAAACACTAATTCTTAAATAGTTGGTAACAATAAAGTAAACCATTTCAAATCTTCGTTTTTGTAGAAACAACGGACAAAAGAAGGTGAGTCAGTAATTCATAGGAAACTTTCTTTTTCCAAAAAATTTATTTTAGAATTTTTCTTATAACGATAGTCATAGGACTCAACAGCTAACTGAATAAGACAATGGCGTTTGAAAAGAACAATATTGGTTTTCAAGTCTCGGAGTGAACATCCACATTGAAACTCAGTTACATCCAGCTGACAGGTCCCAAATAGGACGAAACGCGCGTCAAACTGTATTCCACTTCTAGCAGCTATTCATCTTTGCTTAGAATGCTCGTAAATTAAGGCAATACGCACAGTATGTACATATGCCAATAAGAGACTGATCAATTGCAGTCCTAAAAATGAATGGAAAGATTCAAGTAAACAACATCAAATGAATATAACTTCTACTATAGGGGTTGTGGAGATTATTAAGTTTTTGATTGAGATCATGAACCGATTGATTTTAGACCACCTTTGGAAACCTGGAAGGACTGGACGACCGTTTCGTCCTATTGTGGGACTCCTCAGCAGTGCGCATCCACGATCCCGCTCGCGGGATTCGAACCTGAAGCCTTCGGTCCTGCGCGCAAACGCTTAGCCTACTGGACCACTGAGCCGGCACCCAATGCTGTTCGTGTCTGACATCAACCAATCCACGAAATTGCGCAACCATCTTCCATTATACTTAGGTAGATACCTGTCTCTACCCGACATGGATTAGCTCCACTGGTCACAGCTTCTCACTAGAACTCCGAGAATTCCCTCACGAATATAATTTCCCTCGATTGTAAAAGCAATTGGCTATCAGAAGTCAGTAGCTAAGTGAATAACACAATGGCGTTTGAAACAAACAATACTGTCTTCAAGTTTCGGAGTGAACATTCACACTGAAACTTAGGTACATTCAACTGACAAATCCAAAATAGGATGAAACGCGCATCAAACTAGATTCTACCACTAATAATCATCTGCATAAGATACACATATACTAACAACAGACTATTCAATTACAATCCTAAATGAATAAGAAGAAGATACAAACAAACAATAAGATCAATGAAATGATAGATGATACTATTATTATTATTATTAAAGTACTTTTATATTTGAATGATATCGATTATATTGGATTGATCATTGTTGCTAATAGCAACCATCGCATTATAATTTAATGGAAACAAATTTTATCTTACTTTCTTTAGATGAAGAAAAAAGAAAAAAAAGAGAAAAGAAAAGAAACAAAAAGAAAAGAAACATTACGTAACCAAGTAAACAAAGAACCAATGAGAAAATAATTTAAAAAAAAATTTTTTTTTCTATTTATTCATTCACTTTTAGTTGTCATGGTGTAAATGTTGTTTGTTCTCCTAATTATTGATTATTTATTTATTTTTGTATATATATATAAAGGTAATCAATTTGTGTAGAGATAACGATTTCATTCATTGAAAGTATTGATTTGTCATTCATTTGATATCATTTAATTAATTCAGAATGTCAAGATCATATCCAGCGGATACAAGATCACAAAAAGTTTTAGAAGAATTATATGAAAAAGAAACTATATCACAATTGAATTGGTTTTTAAAATGTCAAGAAGCTAAGAAATTAGATGATTCCACTTTATTGACAACATCAAATATGATGGATAGATCTGTGCCGAATATATCAACTATTTTATCAAAATTAAATATAAAAAATAATGAAGAAGATCTTATGAAAGAATCGAATGAAATTGTTTCCAATGATGATAATGATAAGATAATAGAAGGAGAGAATAAACAAGAATTAACTATTGGACCAGATATGTTTAAACCATCACCAGAAGTATTGAAATTATTATATGAAGGAATATCAAAAGAAGGTAAAGGACGGTAAGTTTTATAAGATGAAATGGATACGTTTATTATGATGATTAATTGAAGTTAGATATTAACATTGTTGGATGTTGACCAGCTGAGTGGTCTAGAAGTTAAGTGTACGTGTGTGAGATTGATAGGCTTTGGGTTTGAATCTTGCAAGGCGGAATTATGGATGAGCACTACTGAGGAGTCCCACAATGGGGCGAAACGGTCTTCCGTTGCTCCCAGGTATTCCATGATGGTTTAGCTTCAACTGACTCATGAATATATCTACTAAAAATTGATTTTTATTAGTCTTTTACATTTCTTATTAATAAATGATTATCATGTTTATACTTTACATCGCTTTTCATGGATTATTATACGGTATATTCTAATAATTGATATTCACACAATGACTTGATACCATTATACATCACTAAAACGTCAGTAAACTACTGATCCTAGATAGTGACTAACTTAATAAATATGATGTTTATTCGTTAAGATTTATATTATACTGTTGATATTTAGAGTTAAATTACCATCGGTTGGAGAATGCTGGTCGGCGGTCTATTCTCCATTGGGGGTAACAGGCGTAAGTCAATAAGTAAGTAATGTGAGTCGGGGGCTAACATCAACATCATAATGCAAGATGGTTGTAATAATCCATCCACTTAGGATACACTTATTTCAAATAAGGGTGGTCAACAGTAGGATAATATAAACCCTTGTACACCGATTAACATTTGTCAGATAACTATAGATAGGATTTTGTAGTTTCAATAAATGATAATGTTGAAAACATCTCTGCATAAACTTGACAGGAATCTTTCTTCTATATGATAAATGAATAGAATAGTTGATTATCTTTTTATATCTATTTATGAATAGAAAGGAAAATGTATTGAACATGCCAAGTAGTATCTATAGGAAGCCTATGCATGGATATGGCTCTACCTCAGCTATCAGGATTTCCGTTGAGTTCAATCTAGAAAAGGGTTTGAAAAAGATTTTATTTGAAAGGGTAGAAATGGAAACTGTTGATCGAAACATTGTTTCGCAAGGAAAAAATTTCAAGCACTTCCATCATCAGTTTCACTTGGCGGCTGCGTAAGATTTCAAATATCACACAGTTTGTTGTCATAGACATGTTCGCCATTGTCTCGTTCAATGAACTCTTACGAGTTAATAGAAACAATTTCTTCCTCGTCTTTACATCTAAATCGATGTTATTTTCATAGTTGATAACTGCCGTCTGTTGGGTCAACGGAAGTGGAAGCTTTGATCTGAAACGGCATTACATCTTGAGCATTCAGGCTCATTCCATAAGATTGGTAAGCGAATTGCACAATATTGAATGCTACTGTCCCAGAAATCAGAAGTGGTCCCACTGTTTCAAATTCAGCTTCCGTTAACCTGAACATCCAAGAATTACTACTGCACTCATGATTGTGATGCACATTCCCACGAACAACAGTTTAGTAACTTTTAATAAACTTACAAAAGAAGAAGGCCGGACAATGAGTGTTCATGGAAGTCCTTCATGAAAAAATATAATAACATTAATCGAATTACCTCCTTCGTCTAATTGGCTGTGAGGAACCGTTAGGTGTTCTACGGTCATTTCTCCAACATACAAATTTAATATACAGCTTCTGATCTCTATGGAAATGAAAATCCCTCACTTCATAATGGCAGTACGTAACTCTTTCACAAATTCTGATGGAGCTCTTTAACGCTTCAAGTGATTGGAACGCTAAGAGATACAATGTATTTAAGAATACGTTATCTGTTTCTGTTACAACGTGAGAAACGATAGAGCTCGTACTTTGTGTTATGTCCCGATAAACATGATGAATGGTAACTTTTGGAATCCATTTATGGACCAATACTATGCGTATATTTTTATTGTGTAACTGAGCTATTCATATTCGTGTTCCTCTTATCATGAGCTTTATTTTGACTTATAGACTATTATTGTACGATTTACTATTCTTAAGTTATGCTCAGTCTATTAATTATTATCTGCCTTATTCATAGCCACATTTAGCTAAATCTTGTACAACTGTTGTTTTATATTTTGCGGCTCGATGTGATCTGTCTGGTTGGTATATAAACCGAGTATGCTTGAAATAAACGATTCGTATCGCCGAGGTTGAGATTGGTGTTCTGGACTTAACTGGCTGGGCTAGGCAGGAAGCAGGACCAATGAGGACTCTAGACTGCTCGTACGTGTTTTATTCGTCATTGATCCGGTCGATAAATCACTGTTATCTAATTGGCGGTATCATTACACTATACATTAACAGGGCACTCAGGCCACAAGTTATAACAGTTTGTATGTTACTATCGTTCATAAGTTGAAGAAAAGGTGCTCTGTCGATATTTTATATCAATTTTACGAAATAAACAACCAATTGTAACGAATTCAGAACTAACCATTGAATTGGACGAAACGGAATTTTAAAAATATTTTGATAATCGGATAATACAAAGTTAATATCAGATGGGTTTTGTGGATATTATAGTGCTCGCGCTCGAAACCAGTAGGTCCTGGGTTGGAATCTCGCAGGGGACGAGGTCGTGGATGTGCACTTCTGAGGTGCCCCACAATAGGACGAAACGGCCGTCCAATGTTTCCATGTTTTCCATGGTGGTCTAGCTTCAACTGACTTATGACCTCAACCATTGAAATTAATATAAAATTACAAAAATGTCCTTGAGTTTATTGATATTCGAAACTTTAGTAGACAATTGATTTATGTTACGATATATAAGGTATAGGGAAGTGCTAAAACCTTTTACAGTGTTTAAATATAGACAATAAGAGACATAGTTAAACTGAAAAGAAAGTTCAGATTTAGGTTCACAAGCTGTTAAACAAGGAAAATTATTCTGATTGAAAGAAATTCCCCGTTATGCTACAAAGCTAAACAGCCTGTATCAAATTCTATTATATTTATAAATTCACATAATTATATGTGAATATGGATACAAAAAGTTGAATAACCAGGATGTATAATAAGAGGGGGGAGGGTATTTGAACATATCCTTAGTAGGTTTCAACAGTAAATAAATTCCAATATTTCTATACTGATTTTTGGCAAATATTCGTTCGTATCAGAAGGGGTGTCGTGGAGATTGTAGTGACTTCAACAGTTGAAATCATGAGTGAATTGAAGCTAGAACACTTCAGAAAACTTGGAAGCACTGGACGGCTGTTTCATCCTATTGTGGGACTCCTCAACAGTGCGTATCCACGACCCTGCCTTCATTCTCATTTATTTCTATCTATACGGTAAATCTAATAATGACACTTACTTGAGTCAGTCAGTCTGGTAAAACGTAGGACCAGGCACATATGTGCATCGGTCCAAGTTGCACAACAAGATGAACATAAAAGTTATAGAAGTAGTCACTTCAATGGTAGTAATATATAAAAGAAAGATTGTGTATAAGGATATAATACAGGAAGAAAGAATTAGTTCGTAGAAAGAAAGATATAAAGCGATTTTAATTTCACGATTTAAAGGAGGACAAAGAGTGTATACACCACCCACGTCATTGTGATCGTTTCTGAATCAAGAGCGAAAGGATAGTTCTATCAAAAATCTAACCAAACATGAATTCCAGTATTATTCAAGAACAATACAGACATTAAATAGAAGGAGACACTAATGATGTTGTCCAGAGTTATAATAAAAGCTTTTAAATCAATCTATCTACCTTATAAAGTGCAATGCCATTAAATGCATCAACCTGGTTTATAAATTTATTCTATCATTTAAAAATCATACTCGTGTAACAGTTTTAAATCGTATTACAACTATCTGATTAACGCTTGTTTTAGTTTTATATTATGAATGGTTTCTGCATATCAACACTGTTGTGACATTATGTCCGGCTAGTTATCACGTGATTTATCCACCAATCAAAATACGACCTATACAATCGTAGCACTGTGCCAAACCAATGACGTTCGACCAGTATGAGCAGCCTAGCGTCCTTAATGGTCCTATGTTCGCCTAACCCGTCCATTTGAGTCCAGAACACCAATACCAGCTTCCACTATGCGAATCCAATCTAGTGTGGTTGTTAAAATATTAGAAAAGATTATTCGGAAGGAGCCGTTTAACTATCTCGATAAAAACCGGATCCTTTCGGAGAAGCAGCACGGTTTCAGAATAGGTTACTTTTGTCTCACTAACTTATTAGTGGCTCGTGAAAGCTGGTGCGCTCTTAAGGATCAAAAGCTACCTGTAGACGTAGCCTTCATTGATTTTAGCAAAGCTTTTGACAAAGTTCCGCACAACCGGCTGTTATATAAGTTAAGAAATGTCGGGATTGGAGGCAATCTATTTATGTGGATAAAAGACTTCTTAGTTGGGCGTCAACAAAGAGTTCGGGTGAACTCTAAGTTATCTAGCTGGAGAAATGTGCTTAGTGGAGTGCCCCAGGGTACAGTGCTATTCCTCTTGTATGTAAATGACCTTCCCCGTCTCCTATCATCATCGGTCTTGCTATATGCTGACGATGTCAAGATATGGAAAACGATACGATGTAAGAGTGATAGCTTGGAACTTCAAAATGACCTGAAGAAATTATCTGAATGGTCTCAAACATGGCAGTTGCCGATAAATACTTCCAAGTGTGTTGTGATGCACATCGGTCATCAAGGCACAGATACATACACGATGAATAACACTGAGCTACCTGTCGTCCAGACATATAATGACTTAGGAGTCATCGTTAGCCAAGACTTAAAGACTACTGCACACTGCCGTGCAATAGCCGCCAAAGGTTTTAGAACCTTATGGTCAATACGTAGGGCTTTAAGTCATGTTGACGCTAAGAAGTTTTTGACTTTGTATAGTGTTCGTACGTCCTAGACTTGAGTACTGCATACAAGCGGCAAGCTCCTGCTTAAAAAAAACAGTGAGCTTCTGGAAAAGGTTCAGAGAACGGCAACTAAGCTTATTCCCGGAATAGCGAAGCTTCCGTATGAAGCTCGACTGGCCAAGCTGAACCTTTTCCCGTTGTCATATCGCAGAACTAGAGGCGACTTGATTACAGTTTTCAAATTGCTTAGTGCCAAATTTGCACCTGATATGCCCTCATTTTTCTTGTCTTTCAAAACAGAGAATTAACGAGGACACTCCAAAAAAGTTCATAAGCCGAGAACAAACTACCTGTCAGTTGACCATCGACTTTCCCACCGAATCATCAACGAGTGGAATTCCTTACCTCAGCACGTGGTTGAGGCTCGATTCGTCGATTCTTTCAAAAGAAAGTTGAATCAACTGAGGGACCACCATTGCTAGGACTAACACAGGCCATCGAGCCTCCTGTCCTTCCCAAACTGAAACTGAAACTGAATCACTTATTTTACACATACTGGGTTTATATATCAATCAAACAGGCCACATCACACACCATCAAATAGGAAATAACATTCATACACAATAAAGCCGAAAAGTGATTGTGAATGTGGGAGGCAGTAGTCAATAAACTGAACACAGCTTAAGAACAGTAACTCGTACAATTATAAATTATAGGTCAAAATAAAGCTTATAATGTGGGAAATATAAATATACATAATCTAATTATTGAATAGTTATACCATAAGAATGTATAGATAATATTAGTCAATTCATATGTCTCAGAAGTTCCTCATGTCTTAATCTTCGCTCGGATATAACAAACACTAAGTCATAATCCATAAGATGATCATATTGAATCGATTTACTTTATAATTTTTTTTTCATATTTTCAGGAATCTTTATCTTCATGATCGTTATAAATTAAATTTAGAAGATAAATTCCAATTTCCTGTACTTAGTTCAATGGAATATGGTTGGGGTCATGCTGATTTAATTAGTAAATCAACTGCACAATCTAGAAAATTTGGACGTCAATGTGTTATTGAAGATTCATTTTATCGACGAACTGGGATACCATTTAAACATGGAGCTGGAATGATTGGATTAGATAAATATAGTTTTTAAAAAAGGACATTTACACCATTATAACTCATAAGGAAGCTTTTTTGTTTAATTTTAATAAATTTCTAACCTTCAACTCTTCAGGTCAAACAATCTAAGGTGACTAATAAGTTATTTCACTCAATAATAACCCATACATATCAAACGTGTAAATTCTGTATTATTATTTTATTGTTGTATTTGAACTACTATTAATTTTATAAGTAGCATAAATGTATTACGTATTTTTCATGTTGATTATTTCTTGTGTCAGTTCAAAATTTCATTGCTCTAATGAGTTAATCATATTGTTATTAGAATTAAAAAGGGTAGATACGATTATACTCCACTGAGTAACGACTTTCTATCGTCTAAAACTAAAGTTTAAGATCATAGGTATATAGCGCAAATGATTGGGAATTGATTACTATTTCTATTGTAAGCAAAGATGGATAGTGGCTAGCAGTGGAATACAGGACGCGCGTTTCGTCCTACTTGGGGCTCGTCAGCTAGATGTAGTTTCATCTCAGAGTTGATGTTCACTCTGAGAACAGGAGAGTGATCAACTACAGACCTAAATAACAAGGGGAAGATAAAAGTAAATCAACACCAAGTGAATATAATTTCACCCCATTGCAAAAGCAGTTGGCTATCAAGAGTCAGTAGCTAAGTGAATAACACGGTGGCATTCGAAGCGAACGACAGTGGGTTCGAGTCCCAGAGTGGACATTAACTCTGAAATGCAAGCACATTCATCTTACGAGTCCCGAATAGGATAAAACACTTATCCTGAATCCCACTGCTAGTCACTATCCATCTTTGCTTAGAATGCTTGTGACTTCAGGTAACACCGAGACAGTCCGCACAGGATGCACATACGCCAACAAAAGACTGATCAATTAAAATGATTCGCACAGTGGAAGCTGGTATTGGTGTTCTGGACTCAAGTGGACGGGTTAGGCGAACATAGGACCATTAAGGACGCTAAGCTGCTCATACCGGTTGAACGTCATTGGTTTGGCACAGTGATAAGATTGTATAGGTCGTATTTTGATTGGTGGATAAATCACTTGATAACTAGCCGGACATAAAGTCATGACAGAAATGGTAGTATCTGAATAAAAATAAGCGGAGAAAACAAAACACTCTAAACCAAGTTATGTATTGAATGATAGAATAATGATAATAACAGATATGTAATGAACGCTACTTGAAAGTTCCTTTTTTGACAACTACCATAATCTGAGTTGACTTGATTACTAAATATCTTTCTGAGCGATTAGTATCGAAGGAATGAACAGAACTATAAACCCAACAGCGTTATAACTCTATACCATCTTCTTTAAAAATCTAGTTCACTTTTTCTAAACGTTTGTTTTGTGATGAAAGTGAAAGCAAACATGTGAGACGTTTGGGCTAAGAGCATACAGTTGTACGTGAATTGAAACAAAGAGAATATGATTCTGTATGTATTTAAGCGAAATGGAAACAATTCAGCATAAATTCAGCGATATTTCAAACCTAAAGCGACTAAAAGTGGAAATGTCGTACCATTTCGCCAATGCAGGAGAAAAAGGAGAACTTTTTAGCGCAGTTCCCCTTAATTTCCCACATTTTCGCCTTTATTTCTTCTTTTTGGCTTGCTTGGGCATTAGAAATTAGTCCAGGCTATTAGTCGCACGTACAGGAGAAAACTGGACGATGTACGTGGTGCTTAGTTAAACGCTGGAAATAACGTAATTATCAATTAATTGCAAGTGAAGTCTATTCCCAATTGGTACAAATAAATATCTAACATCTCACAAGGAGGGAATGTGGTATTTTGATGTAATTATGCAAAGCATCATATCTGTCTGTTCAAATTCCGTATTATAATTTTGTGCTGATTGTCTGTCTTTAATGTGATCGAACAGTGATAGTGTAGACCCTGTGTCATAACGCTCGTGTTTTACTTCGTTTGATGTTATAACGGTTGAGTTTCCACGTCTCCACGTATAAGACGTTAATTTACATTAAATGAATATCTACACTAGATTCTCTCCCAGTGTCTATTCTACAGGATTTCAACACAACTCAGATGATCAAGAACACGTGATTAGCCTGACCAAAACGTAAATATATTTCCACACCAACAACCTGACACAATCCAACAGCAATGAAAAATCAATGGTAAGTGAACAATAAGTAATAATAAAGATAGGGGGATATATAACTCATCTGACACCCTTTTCAGACTATCCAAGTGTCTGACTAAGCAGACAACCAACCATCATCATTCTTGTCCACACATCAGTATGAAGGAAATGTATATTGACGGTTGATTCAGGGTACTTGGGATTCTTAGGTTCCATATATTCATTTCGTCAGACTAACTAAGAGATTAGAAACAAAGACAGTGAATGTGCCTACTCAACATATCACTCCTTGCAATCGTTAACTTAATTCATGCTACACAGCCCAGTAATGACACAGGCATCATATGAAATAATAATGGTTTAGATACCCACACAATAACACATGAGGCTAATAGGTTTATAATTATAAGGGTTTGTTTACTGAATATCACAATCTCCTATAAAGAGAACAAAGCTATCAGTATCGTGAATATAATTCAATAGTGACGTGATGTCTGGTTCAATGAAATTTGCCCAAATATTAGAATCAATCCTGAGGTGTGTAATGACATAAAAGCTGCTATAGTATCATAATTTCAGTGTCATTTGTATTTCTAAAACCGATCGTTTAAGCGCTTTACTTGTGAATCAAATGTATTCACCTGTAAATCACCGTCCAGTCACTGATTCATATTAGGTTTATAGAAGTTTACAAGGTGTCTGAACTATAATCAACGGATTTCTTGTCTAAATCATTCAATCACCTCCAACTTCCTCAACGTCACATGTTACACTTACAAACAAACTGACTTAACAACAATGGACTTTTAGAGTGGTATTTAATAAGTACAAGTCATGTAACCAATCAGTTGTTTTGTTACTGAAACAATATAATTTGCTCGCTAAAAGTTTATTAATACTACGAAATTAGGTCAGTAGTTTATCACCATTCTTTAAATAAACATCAAATAGATATGGCCTAATGTTTTATCAAATATTTTATGTATCAATACTGAACACCTATCAAAAATACTTCTGTCTATACATAATGCATTACAGATATAACATTTGAATAAGAATCTTTTTGAGTTTCTGATGGTTGTTATTCACTGTCTATTACAGTGTCCAATTTTTTCTTGATGTCATCCTGTAGCAACTGACGTGCAATTTAGTTTGTTCACATTTCATTCGGTTTAGTCATTTTGTTAACTTATTAACGAACTGAGTTATCTGTACAACAACAACAACAACTTATCTGTATCATTGTATCGTTATCATTGTTGCGAATGTGAGAACATGTATGTTTGAACCATTGCTTACTGCCTACGCATTTATTCACACTGCTAGCCTTACTACTAACCGCTTAATTGATTCGATGATTCATTCATTTCACTATGTATATATATGTTCATGTTATTCATTTTCGTTGCTCTCTCAATCGCTTACTCGTACTCGCTTACTTGTACTCGTATTCGCTGACTCACTCGCTAGCTCGCTTTCCTGCACGCTTTTCAGCACAACTGTTTCATGCTTGCTTAACGCACCTGTAATTTTGAATATCTGCGTGCATGATCCCATAATAAACGTAATCAACACTTCGTATTCGCCTTCTAATTAATATACCGTTGGGGCGTCATCTAGTGACGGTTATCATGACGAACTGTATACGAAGTTTAAGGACTATACTGAATACCGACCACCACAATGCACTAATGGGACTCATAAAATGTATTCGGACATGTGATGAAACCCAGTAAAAGAGCTTATTTATGTTATAACAATACTCACAGTTACTAATAACATACCAAAAAAGACTAACACCATAACAAGTAACACTTACAACAAAATAGTACATTAAAAAACAAAATGAGAACAACTGTTACGAAATCAATAATGCTCACAAGCTCCTTCTGAAATAACAACCACAAATGAGTTCTCTTGATCAACAACGATTCCTTTGCACGTGATAACACCACCGGCGTGATGAGGAAGACAAATCCAATGAGACCACAATTTATAGACGAAACAACCAGATTTAAGATAACAAGTCTTGGATTTTGGTGTAAAATTCATCCATTCATTTCACTAAATAACATTTTGACATTATAGCTGATGTCAGTTTGTGTTTTTAAAAAAATCCTGAATCTAAATTCTAATCCTAACGTACTGCTGTAAACCTTAATCCTGATTCCTCATACAAATCTATAACCCAGTCGGTAAGTGGGTATTATCAAGGTCAATGTAGCGTCACTCAAAAGCCGTCTATAAACTATAGTCTTGTAGTGACCTACTTTTATCAACGGAACGAGATTGGTTTAATGGACACAATTATTATTATAAGCAATTGTACCAGTGATTGTTTTACTGTACTCGTTTGTTTAAATGTACCAAAGACATTCTTCCTGCCGTTGATTGTGACCTTGCACGAACTTATGTTTGCTCAGTGACTCCGCTTGTACGCTTTTGGCTCGATCTTGGTATTCTTTCGATACTACGAGATCGCCAACAAATATATATCGCTACAACTTCCAATCGCCTTCTGATATCATGTACGCAACCTTTTTGTAGTGGTGATCATAGTCAACCGCGATTCGACGCCGCACTACAATCTCAACGTAAATCCGATAGCATTATTTTATAATAATCCGGGCCAAAACTCCAATTTAGTGTAGGATGGTCCAGAAGGATGCTGTAACACTATTAATATCTTCAACCATAGTCCGTGGACAATAAAGTGGAAGAACAGACGACAGAGATAACGTTTATTTTTAAGAATAGCGATAGACTATGTATTAGTACAACCAAACAATCATATTCGTTTCTTACCACTGATACAGAGAAACAATAAATCTTGTAAAGTGTTATAAAAAAATGTGGTATTCATTTTGTTATAAAAATCATTGAATCTAC